GGGCCAGCGAGTACGACTACGTGAGCTACCAGTCCGACCTGGGCCCTTACCCGGGCGGGCGCTTCTACGCCAAGCCCCACCAGTGCGTGGCCATCCCCGCCGACCTGCGGCTCTGTCACAGCGTGGGCTACGACAAGATGGTGCTGCCCAACCTGCTGGACCACGAGACCATGGCCGAGGTGAAGCACCAGGCGAGCAGCTGGGTGCCGCTGCTCAACAAGAACTGCCACATGGGCACCCAGGTCTTCCTCTGCTCCCTCTTTGCCCCCGTCTGCCTGGACCGGCCGGTCTACCCCTGCCGCTGGCTCTGCGAGGCCGTGCGCGACTCCTGCGAGCCCGTCATGCAGTTCTTTGGCTTCTTCTGGCCCGAGATGCTCAAGTGTGACCAGTTTCCCCAGGATGATGTCTGCATTGCCATGACGGCTCCCAACGCCACCGAGGTCTCCAGGCCCAAAGGTAAGGCGTGACCAGCGCCACGGCCCTGCTCCGGGTGCTTTTCTCTGAGCCGACGGAGCAGGCGTTAGCCCAGGAGGGCCTGTGTGGGACTCAAGGGGGTCTTGCGGCAGGAGGAGGCTGCCGGAACTCTGCTTCTCGGCAGCAGTCCTCTTCCAGCCTCTGAGCGCTCTGCGAGCGCTCCTGTCCTGGGGAAGGCGGGACACCCTGCCAGTTCCTCACCTCTGTCCTGGAGCTGAGCCCAGGAGCAGACGGTGCCAGGGAACGGCGGGCGCATGGCTGCTCTGATCCCCGCGCGGGCACCGGGGCCGGAATCCGACCCTCCGTCCTCCAGGTGCTGCGCTGCCCTGGCAGCAGTTTCTCTCCCCAGCCCGACTCCCGGGGGGCCGTTCTTGGCAGCAGTAGGGCACGTGGTCCCCCACGGCAGAAAGCGCTGCCTGACTGGAGTAAATGGTGACAGCAGTCCTGGCGGAGTACCTCGCTGCCCGAGCAGTCCTGGGGCGAGAGCCCGGGCAGCTGGTGGCTACGCGTGCGGTGGAAATCCAGCCCTGCCGTCTCAGGCGGGGCTGTGTGCTGGCGAGGGGGCAAGAGACGGATCAAGAAATGCCTGGGGAAAGTGGACGGGGTTCTTGTTCGGTTCCATTACGTGCAGCAGGTCTGCTTGGTGCCGGACTGGCATGTTTGTGCGAGTTGCAATGAGTCTGGCTTGTGCTGAAAACTTTTGAAATAAAGAAATAGCCTGGGGTCGCTTCGGCATTCTGCATCGGAGCGCTTTGAAAGGCTGGCAGGAGGGATATTTGTAGAGGGAGAAGGCAGAGGGCTATAAGAGAGCGCAATGCTTTCCTGCGTCCGGAGCTTCATTGGAAGGGATGGGTGCTCCCGATTTCATGAGGGGATAGTGCAGCGCTCGGGAGGAGCTCAGCGACGGGGGAGCCGCGCCTGGGGCTGAGCGATTCCCGTGGCTGCTGTGTGGTGTCTGGAGCTCATCTGGAGGGAAGGTCGCCCTTTGCAGCGGCTGCTCGCATGCAGTTACCTTTACAGACAAAGGCTGTTACGTCCTGCTCGGCTGAGTGCCTCTCCCAGCCTCCCGGGGACTCTGCAGCGTTATCCCGCTCAGCCCAGCGGGACTCATGCTTCAGGGAGCCCTTCAGTTACGGGGCGGGAAGGGATTGCATCCTGCAGCAGAGGGGTGATGCCCTGGGGGTGTCCCCAGGAGCACACAGAAGGGAGCGGAGCGCCATGGCTTGAGCGGGACGGGGCAGTCGCTGCAGGCAGCCTGCCCGGGGGCAAGCAAGGAGGGACGCCCAAGCTCGACACCCGCCAGAGCTGCGCAGGGCAACTCTGTCGTGTCTTGGCAGCGGCAGACTCTGTCACGTCTCAGTGCGAAGCGTGTACCCGTGCCGGGGGGTGAGGTCTGGCTGCTCTCGCTCCCGGGGACCCAGCCTCTCCCTGTGCAGCGCCGACGGCAGCACAGCCACGCTGGCTTCCTTGCTGTGGCTTGCGCTTACTGATGTGATTGCTGGAGGAAGCTCTTTGTTTTCCAGGAGGGCTCTAAAATCATCTGTCCTGTGTGAACCTAGACCCTTGGTCAAGACCGCAGTCATGTCCTGTATCGTGGGTACAAAGGTTGCATTTATTCCCCGGGGACTTGCAGCCAAGCGTGCTCCTGGGGCAGCTGGGTCTGAGCTGCTTGCTGTAGAGCTGCCCCTTTCCAGGTCTGAAACGGAGTTTGAGCTGTTTGCAAGTCATTCATTTTAAGAGACATTAGTGACCCAAGACCCGGGAACAGTCTTCGAGGAGAGCAGCGTCTGCGAAGTTTTCCCTTCTGTGGTTTAACAGCTAACTTTCTGATCCCCTTTCAGACCTGTCTTGACAGCAGCATTGGAGTGGGACACTACTGCTTTCTTTTGGTGCTGCTCACGTGCCCATCGGCACAGTGTTTGGGCACCATGCTGTCATTCACAGGCATCGCTAAAGTGACTTTATTAGAAGGAATTACATCAGCTCAGGTTTGAGTCCTTTGTGGATCTGTTGCTGGTCCTGTTTGGCCTGCCAGAGAGGCCTCATTCTGCACAAGCTTTAGGTTGTATTAACTTGTTCTTTGAGCGAACTGTAAATCGCAGCTGGGTGAGTATTGCAAGGAGGTATTGCAGCCACTCAGATAAACCACTGCCTGCTAAATGGCTTCGCCAAACTTATGTCCCAAGCACTTTTAAATGAGCAATTTGTTCACAAGGATGCTTACAGAAAGTGAGTCTAACATTGTCGTGCAAATGTGAACTCTCTTCAGCATGCAGTGGAAAAGTGTAAGCAGGCATCTTCACATCTGCTGGCCGCTTGAAAGCGTTGCTGAGCTTTCACGTTGCTTGAAAACGTGCTGTTGCTGAGCCCCAGCAGCTCCGGAGGTGTCAGGCCAAGCCCCCTGTGCCCATTGCACTGCCTGGGGTGCTGCTCTGTGAGGGGACGAGCAATTTTGCTAGAAAACGCTTCTTCAAGGTGAGAAAGCCAGGCCCCCCAGTAATCTGCTGGGTTGGACCTGCTGCCCCTAGGTGTGCCAGCTTTCATGGCGTTCACGCTGGTTTGCGGCAGAGGGATCTGGCGTGTGTCCTCCTAGGAGTAACCTTCGGTTGGTGAGGCTCCGTGTGCCGCATACGCTGTGTGCTGGGACGCTCTTGCCCCAAAAAGCTTAGAGCGAGCAGAGCGAACTTAAAGGTAATTGCGACCGCTGCTGTAATGTAATGCAACGCAGCCGGGTCTCCTGCACTGGTGCTCCCGCACTCTGCAGAAGACCCGCGCGTGGCCTGCAGGGATGGCAGGGGCCGGGCCCGGCGAGGCGCCCAGCGCTTTGTCCGCTGGCGCTGCCACCTCGTGCAGACGAGGGCTGCCCGCGGGTGAGCGCGCTTGTGCCGCTGCGGCTCAGCCCTCGTCCCTGCGTGTGCCGGTTCCTTCCCTCCGCCTGCGGCTCCGCCGTGGGAGACCCCGTCTGCGGTTTGTGTGCGTCCCCCGTGAGCGCCGGCTCCCAGAGGCGCGTCGGTCTCGGGCACTGGGGTGTGTTTCCTGTTGATTCAAAGCGGGTCAGAACCCAGCAGCGTCCCCCCTTTTCTCTGGGCACTAATAAGAACGAGCCCTTTCAGTATTTTTCCCCATTAACACCTCGAAATTGGAATTTGTTTCTGCCTCTCAAAGAGCTGACCTGCTGAATTCCTTTCTCCTTAAGCACGAGGCGGTAAAGCCTGCAGGCCCACAGAATGCATCAGGGGAGTTGCAGATTAATATAGCATTACACATTCCTTCTCCTGCCCCTGGAGTAAGCTGCCTCTAAAGCCAGGCATTAGAAAATGGTCAGCAGGGAAAAAGCGAGCTGGAAGCAGGCTAAGGTTGTGCTTGGAGCAGAGCTGTCAACTGCAGAAGACGGGTCCTAGCCGAACGGCAGTAGGCTGGGAGGCAGGCGGCTGTGCCCGGTGCCGCGGGGTGCAGTCTGGCCGGGCGTGTGCCGGCACGGCTGCCTCTGGGCCGCTGTGGCGGGGACCGCCTGAGGCGGGGGGACCCGAATTGTGGCTGGGCTTCTTGTTGGCTCCTTCAGCCTGGGATTGGGTGGGAAGGGGAAGGTGAGGTCCTGGGCAGCGCTGCGGGCTGGAAGACGTTGGGCATGGTGCCCTGGGAGGGGTGTGAGGGCAGGCAGTTTCAGGATAGCTGTGGCTCCATGAAACAGCAATTTTCCTGGGGTGCAGACCTGTGTGGGAGCTGGTCGGGCCCTTGGCATTTGTGTTCCTGACCTTGGTGTGATGGGATGTCCCATGGGGAGAGGAGTGTTTCCCTTCTCCTCGGCACGGGACAGCATCCCCTGGTAGCCCTGCAGGCACATCCATGCTGCGATGGGGCTGCTGGAGGCAGGGCTGGAGGATGGTCTCCGCACGTGGAGCCACCCAGCGCGCAGCCGGGGTGAGCGCCAGGTGCCCGCTGCCACTTGCCAGGCCATGGGGGCCCTCCCGGCACGGGGTGACATGCCACGGGCTTGGTCCTGGCGCAGGGACGCGGCAGCATGGCAGTGGGATGCGTGCGCGGGCAAGGCTGCTGCTCGCGCTGTGTTGGACGGCCGGCAGCGCTCGCCCTGCGCGGGGTGTCAGCAGAGCCGCAGGAAAGCGTCTTCTCTGTGGCGAGAGGAGCGTTGGCAGGACGCGCTTGCGGCGCGGCTGGCAGACGTGCGCTGCGTTGCTGGTGGGAAGCGGGGCGGATGCGCGGCCCCACAGAAGGGACTGCCCGGCGCGGCTGCCGGCGGGCCCGCG